GGGGGGGGGGGGGGGGAAAGAAGGAAAGAGCAAATAACAGGAGTGTGTGTGCATGCATTTTTTTTTTCCAATATAAGATCTTGCATCTTAGTATCCCATTCCATTTCTGATGCACATGACAAATGACATGTTTATTTTCTGAAGGGATTTGAACTGGTTTTTGGAGAGTCTTCAAAGGAGTGATCACAAATAATACTGCTCTATCATATGAACTATTAGTACATATTTGTCAACTAGGACTCCATCCTGTTCTTGTACAGAAGGGTTTTAAAAGAATGGAAAGCTTTACAAGGACAGGTTCTGAGTGTCCTTGTCCTAAGGAGGCTTCCCTGGACAGGAAAATAGGAGCTGTGGGAGTAATTCTCATCAGTAGTCTGTTAGCCTCTGATTGTTAGAAGAAACCTTGCAAAAAGCATGTATATGATAGCCCCTTATGCAATTTACCTTTGGATATGTAGTAGTTTTAAAATACATATGCATACATATATTGATGTATGTACCTCAATAAAATGGAGACATGACTGTAGTTGTTTGCACATAGTTCTTTAATACCGTTTTATTTACACTTATCTGTGGTTAAATGATGCAGATATTTTAGGGCACATGTAATCAGATCTTTTAATGTGGATAATTGGAATTCATGTTTTTACTACAACCATCCTTCACTCTCTGCAGAGTGGCTCAGTTGGTCATTTTGCATATACTGGCTTCTGTTAATGACATTCTGCCTGCTTAAACAAGAGCATGCTGTTCTAAGCAAATTAAATTTCTCACTCTTCATGATCTTTTCTAACAGGGATTGATATGGCTCATCATGAAAATCTGTTTTGTAGTATAGTCTTTTGTAAGGGTCGATTTCTGGGTCCTCACTAGGAAGGAACTAGAGAGCAAAAGCTTACATGCTATTGGATCTGCCATTTGGACATTTGTGTAATGTATTTGGATTTCTATAGCAGGACAGTGTCAATACAGCATAAACTGCCACTAAAGGACTGTAAAAATTTCAACTCTCTCCCTTGTTTAAGTGTTGACAGTTCAGTGGCTCCAGGGAAGATGATAGAATATTTCTGCTCTTTGGAGAACAGTTTCTGTCTGTAGATATTATTTAAAACATAATGGGGTGTGGCAATCAAATGGCAGTAGGAGAGCCTGAAACAGAGAGGTGTGCGTTGGCAGATCAGTGAAGAGGGAGAAGTTCAGTCCCAGTGTCCTTGTGCCAGACTAACATTCTTGGTGCTAGTGCTGAAAGCATCCTTGACAAACAGTGATTGTCTTTGTGCTGACATAGCTGATCTTTCTGCTTGACCATTCAAGAAGTTCTACAAGCCTTCAAGGAACATGGAGAGCATGAAGGTGTGTAAGATCTTATGAGAGGACATGCAGGAATGAAACAGAGGAGATTAAAGTTTGATTACATGACTTCTATGTAATGCACTTTCTTTGGTGGGAGGAAGAGGATTTTTCCAATAGAGAATAAATGTAAATCTTCCTTTCAGAATTATTAGTATTATTGCTGACTCTCTCTGGTTTGCTTGACAAGATGCCTAGTGTTTGGACAAATCTCAATGTTTTTATGAGTGTGTCCCAAAATGTTAATGAATACTCATTCATACATTGCCATCTTTCCATGTCATACTGGAACTGTAGGCCAGTAGCACCTCCTTGATCTTTTTGTCTCTGTGCATTTTATTAAAGTAAATGAAGGCTTGTTTTACAAAGAAGCAGCAGAGAGCTTTTATCCAGAATCCTTTCAGATATATACTTTTTACAGAGTAAGCTTTAACTTAATAATGTATATTTCTAACCCTTTAATAACCTAAAATAACCAAAGCCTTTTCACTTTTTTCTTTATATCCAGAACATGAAGCATTCCAAACTATCCCTCAAAACCACCATGCTCAGGGCCTGAAAGGTTTGGCACTTTTCTTCCTCTGTGCTTTCATCTGTGCTGTGTTCAGTGTCTTGCATCTAACACCAGAATCCATAGTTAAGACCTATCCCATTACTTTTTCATTTGCATAATCTACTTGGTCACTTGACAGCATGTCAGTAACAATACCTGTAAGCTACCTTTTGTTGATTAACATTTGTCACATCAGTTCTAGATGTGACAAATTTTCTTCGTTCATGGAATTTGCATTGGTTTAGTGATACCAGTGGTGTCAAAAATAGTCAAGGCTCATGAACTGAGAGGCTTCTGTTGTGGATTTGATCTTAATCTGAGCTCTGCCTGAGCTAGGGACAAATTCTGAGGCTATGCCCCTGTGTTCTGCAGTGTTTGTTGAGCAGAAGAAAAATCTCCCAGCTCCCAAGGACAGCTGCATTTGTGTTTCTGCCTGATGCAAAGCTGCTCCTAATAATCTCTTGAAGGGTGGCTCATAGAATTCTACTTTCTTGCTTAAGGGAAGGTAAAGTCTCTGTGTATGAAAACTTGGTGGAAAATGGACAGGGAGCCTAGAACAGTCACCATCATGTGTACTTAATTTAGGAATAGGAGCTGGTAGAAGGAATAAGCAACTGAAGAATATCATTATGAAAGTAGGCATTCTTGCTCTTTATATAGCATTGCCCTTACACAATACTTTTTCTTAAATATGTTCCTTGACAAACACTGGTCAGCAGTGAGAAGAAAACAAATCTTAGTTACTCCCCACTGCCAGCTTACAGTTTAAAAGTGCTTCTGCAAATTAATCACAAGCTGGGCCAAAAAACCTATCCTAGATCTAAGTTCAGTTTTGCTTTGTCAGGTCACTGTTAAATTCCATAAATTTAACTTTCTTGCATAGCTGTTTCTTTTAAAGCTAAAATTAAATGAGAGAGAGAATTGGAAATTTTGTTTCTAACATAGGACACTTCAGTTGTCAGAAGTGTGCAGGTGTTTTCCCCTTGTCTTCCACTTTTATCTCTTAGTTAATTTCTCTTTTCTCAGGATCACTTACCTCTGAGAGTACTCCAGATTTACTGTGAAGAGACCAGAGCAGAAAACAGAAGAGGAAGACAAGTTTGCAAAAAACTGCTTGCAGGAGATAGAAAACTCTCAAAATTACAGCTGAAGATTGCAATTTCTTATGGCTGAAATGGTTCACTTTAGATGGTAAATGGTTTTTTTAATATACTGCTTTTTAATTGTTGCTTTTGTTACTATTTATCTTTTGTTACTATTTATCTATTTTGTCTGAGCTCACATCTATTAAAAGCTAGAATGGCAATTGTGTATTTTGCTTTTATCTTCAGTGCACTGGTTATCTTCTGAATGCAAACTGCTCCGATAACTCCATGGTTTTGGCTGTTGACAAAGCTATTATCACATCTGAGGTGTTCTGTATGCGGAAGGAGAAGGAGGAAGTGGGAACCTTCTTAACCTGACTTCTACTGAGAACAAATGATCTATGGAAATAGGGCTTTACCAGTTTAAAATTAATATTCTCACAATAATTTGGTGGGCATACAGGTTTTTCATGCCAGGTGCTAGTGCATCTCTAACTTTGCACATAATACAAGACATAAAATTACCTCTCACTGGCCTAGCCATTTTTTTGTTGTCTCCTACCACTCTACTCATTGCTTTTTGGGAGTGGGACTTTTGACATGTTCTGATTTTCCACTTTTCTGCCTTTCTCCTGTTGCCTCTTTCTCATACCCAGAGCAGCACAGAAACAAATTTCTCATTTAAAAAAAATTCTCTATTGTCAGTTTCTTATGTTTTGGGGTTTCCTCTTTGCTTTTTTGTGCTGGAGTTTGATTTCTTACATTATTGAAATGTAAGATATCATTGCATTTTGCTTAAGGAGTGGGAAATACTGGGGCGAGCTCCACTGCCCCCTGTAGTCCAGAAGTCCTCAGAGGAAGTACCTGCCACAGGTTCTGCTCCCGCACCTGCATCTCCACACAGGCCAGCACAAATGCAAAGCTGTGCCGATGACACCAGTGTCTTGCACTTTGTGTTCCAGCACATTATCAGTACCAAGTTATTGCTGTGAATCCAGATCAGTCTGTGGGTTTGCTCCACTGTGTCCCCACAAATGACTCTTTGGGCACAACTTGAAAGAGAGCACAGGATATGACCAGGAAGTTTTCAATGTTCAACTTTGAGTGTGTGCTTCTGTACTGAGTTCAGGTGCCCTGGTGTGGGTGGCCCTGTGCAGGACACAGCTGGATCCAGGCAGCTCTGCAATGGACCTGCCACAGGACACAGCTGAGCATATTGGTGAAGCTAGGGCACCTCTGTTGAGGTGTCTGTAAGAAAGGGCAAAATGCTGCATGGTGGAAAGTGGTGAAAAAGAAGGTGAAAACAGTCCTCTCAGCACCACAGCCAGAGAAGGAGAGCGAGGAATTGTTCCAGGTGCTGGAGCAGGTGTTTTCCCTGCAGACCACAGAGGATCACATGCCAGAGCAGGTGCAGATTATTTCTGAAGGAACTCCATGGAGAGGAGCCATGCCAGAACAGGTTTCGGCTGAAGGACTGCAGCCTGTGGAGAGGACCCATGATGGAGCGACAGAAAGAAGCTGTTACAGACTGACTGCAATGCCCATATTCCTCTTTGCCTTGTGCTGCCTTGGACAAGGGGAGACAGAGAAGTTGGGGGTTCAAAGTGTGAAATTGAGCCCTGAGGAAAGAGGGCAACAGGAAGGGAATGTGCTGCTTTAATTTGCTTTTGTTTCTCAGTGATATAATCCATTTTAATTGACAATAAATTAAATTAGCTTTCCTCATATTGATTCAAATATTGAAATTTACATCTGGATGCAAGTTATGATAGAAAATCCTGATGTCTCTTTGAACACTGCAAGTCACTATTGCCTTTAATTTTTTATGCATTCGGTTTTTATTTTTTAGGATTTATTTTTTTTTGAGGGAGTTGTTTTCCTTTTTTTGATTCGGGATTTGCTTTTTTGGTTTTTTTCGATTAGGTCTTTCAAGTTCAGCATACTCACCTCTTCACTGGAGTAGATTTCAGGTGGAGAATTAACTCAGGAACATGTCTAATCCATTACATTTCAGCTGGAAAACAGTACCAGCCATATTTTTACAGGTTTGAGCATGGGAGAGTCACTCTGAGGAAAGGATGCTGCTGCAGTAGACTCTATATACTTTGGTAAAGTAGTTCTTACCAGGTGCTGAGTGTCTGGCATCTTCCCAGTGTTATATCTAGCAGTGCTTCAGAATGGGGCAAAGTTTGTGGTGAGTGGCTGTCTTTGGTGAAAGTGCTGCTAAGTTTAGGAAAAGAAATAAGCAGAGTTTGAGAATGAGATTTATATTTTTGTGCTTTTCAGAGATTATTTTTCTGAATAAGAAGGGAACTTCCTTTAGAGGGTAAGTTTTATATGTGTGTTTTTACACCACCTTTGGAAAATACCTGGCACTGGACACCAAGGGTATCTAGATAGGGTACTAGGTGGCATGACACACTTACTGGTTTATAATGGGGGCACTGGAATATAACATTTATGGATAGCTTCCTAACATTAGCTAAATTAATATCTTTTTTTTTTTTTTTTTTAATCCTCTCTCTTTATGTTTCACTATAAAGGGAAGAGTCTCTATTAAAGGGAACATGGTGAATTATTGTCCATAATGTTTATGAACAGTGGGATGAAAAGGACTTCTTTAATAATGAATAAGATGAGTTTCAGAAAGAATTGTAGTGTCATTGTAACGTCGAGTATTTTTTTCCAGTTGTATCACTCACTATTGATTATTGTCTGTTTATTTGCTGTATAATTTATTTGTTAAGCTTTTCTGGCCATGTCAGGGACATAGAAGTAATACATATGGTAATTCTCTTTTCTTTTGGAGTTTTATAAAAGGGAAAGGAATGCTTAATTTTGCATTTAGCCACAAGTGGCTCTGGAAGAGTCCATGATTATCTCTGTTCCTTAGCTACCAAAAAATCTTTTGTGCTGAAGTATTCCATAAACTTGTAATTTTTTTCTTGGATTAGGCAAAGTGAATTTGACACCTTTAAAAAAAAAAAAGGGCAGACTACACTGGAACCAAATTTAGCATCTTCAGGAGCTGTGACCTAGGGTTCATCAGTTGCAGTTGTAAAAATATTATTATTTTCATAATGAAATGTTTTTATTAATCTAGTTTGATCTATGTACAAATGTGTCTCCATTCCTCTTATTTCAGACTTCTGAACTCCTTTGCAAAATGAGAGATCGCTAGTGAGATTAGCTAATAACTGCAAAAATGGAAAAGTTTCACTGGGGACAGGTGCTAGCAAAATGTTCCATAAAGTCAGCCAGGATAATTAACACTGGTAAGGTAAGATCTTTCAGAGATTAACTACAGGTTAATACTTTTGGTGGTACACTGATGTTTATTCTGATCTTGCAAACAAAAGTGTGTATGAGCCATTGCAGAAAGAACTGGGAAATAAAGCACTTTATAAAATGCCAGTCGGTGGTGGTTTTGGTTTCTGTTGGCTTTGTCAAGCTTTTACTTGGTGTTCATTCCTTTGTGTATCCATATTAGGGTCTATTTTATCTGATCTCTTATGTAGAGTTAAGTTAAAATAAGTTAATACTTAGAGCATAAGACACAAGTACTTATGGTAAGATATATTTAATATATTATCTCACAAATAGACTATTATTGATAATTATCAGAAGACATTTGAGAGAGACTTCACATGCTGTATTCACTCTTTTTGTCCATGTTTTAGAATTGATGAGTTCTCATTTCTTTGAGATTTGTCAGGAGATTTTAGCAATGAAATTACTATTTTGAAATGAACTGTAGGTTCCTGACTGCAGTTAAAATGGTTTCAAGTAGGGAAACCAGGTTTGTATTTAATTTTGAACGGCCAAACTTACAAAAAGAAGAGACCCTGGAGCCACCAAGAAATACTGGAGCTACTCAGAGAAACACTGCTTTTTGGGCATACTGTTACAAAGATCAACAGAGTTTCCAGAGAAGTTTGACTGGCATCATAGCCAAGGAGAGCATCATGTGAGGCAGTGATGCTGCCTGCTCTGAGATGCCTGTAATACTTTGTGTTCATTATTCAGTGTCTTGCTGCTGACATACCAGTGAGATGATAAAAAGATAAGAGTCCATGATAAATGTTTCATTTAAACCCAGAAACAGGCAACAGCTGGCATATTTAAAGTTTTTACACAGGTAGGTGTCTTGAGATATTAGAGGAGTGAAAAATTGTTGGGTTTTTTGGGTTTTTTTCCTCTCTCTCTGTAGCATTGTCTGGTAACAAAATGTTAAGCTTATTTGGAGGGTTTCCTAGGATCCAGTATCAGATAGTGCTAATACTATTACAGATTGGTAATAGTGCTATTTGGGTGCTTTTTTTTTCAGATTTCCAGTTGCTGTCCCTTTATTTCTCCAGGGAATTTTTGTCAGTACATTCCAGTGGCATGCTCTCTCCACTGTGTTGTAGTGTTGTTTACTAACTTAGAAAAATTTTTCTTTCCCATTACTGAGGTGATTAACAGGAAGGTTAGTACAGTTGGCTGTCTTGATAAAACATAGTCTTCTGGAGATGGAATTATTTAAGGCTGCTGAGAAGGCAAAACTAGCAGAATATGGTGAGTACTGAGATTTTGAGGAATCAGGAGTACAAGTTTTTGATGTTACCATTGTTGAAGCATAGCATTCACCAAGGCTGATACCTGAAGCAGAACTTCTTTTGCACAGGTCAGCCAGAGTTTATCCTTGCCCACAGAGTAAGAACCAAACTAGTACTACTTGACCAGCACTTACTCTGATTCCTTCTTGCTGTTTTAGAATGTATGGTTAACTTTTGGCTGCCTGAGAAGTGCCATTTCGCAACCAAGTACTTTAGCTCTCTTCTAGATGACAATGAGCTGTGTCAGAAATTTCTGAAAGAGAAGCAGTGAATACTGAAGAAAGATGTAGGAAAGTCTGTACCACAAAGAAAATGTGCACCGAAACTAGCTCTTGGTTTTGAGAAGCCCATAGAACATGTTCTGAAATCCTGGAGCATGAGCCAAGCTGGCATTGTGGGCCTGAGCACAAGCTATCACAAACCTACAAACCTCTCAGCAGCACACACACACAAATTTGTTCCACCCCAAGCCAGAAAAGAAGTCTCTAGTTAGGCCACATACTAAATTAAAGTTAATTTTTAGTGTCATTTTACTACGTCCCAGTTTAAATGGGTTGCTTATGAAAGCAGTCTAAAAACAGTGATGCAGTCAAAAATTGAAGCTTCATTTTTTATAAGTAGAAGCTGA